ATTCCTGATTGTATGTTGAAATCTTGCCTTATAACCTCAGGCAGTTGACCACTATCATCTGTTTTATGTTTGAGCTTTCTGGATTGTTAATCCCAGCCAATCCAGGAGTAGCAAGTACTTCTCCTCAAGGACTGTCCTTCTATCCCCCAAATGTCTTTGCATTATTATTATCCTGCCCCTCTTATCTATAACCAATGTAGATCAATGGTAAACAATTTATGCTTTCCTTTCCCCCAATTTTTGTTATAAAAATGCTCTTGGCTTTTAGGTCTGGCAGACATATTTTCAACTTCCTTCTTATCTTGCTGCTGGTAGCTATAGAATTTGTCCAAGGACCTGGTCCTTTTCTGTCTAACATCTAGAAGCTAAACCAATTTATTTCAGAGGAACCTCAGTCTCTGGAGTTTTGTTTAACACCATTCTTTGAAAGGAAATATCAATAGAAGTTTTCTCTGCCTTTCCCCCATTGCCTGCCATGTATATGGCGGTGATTGAGGCAAGTCTCCTGACTTTTTAATTCACAGATCTTCACATGGAGAGGAATCATTCGAGGAGTTAAAGAGTCTCCCCTGCTCTAGGATCTTACAAATTCCGGGCCCTAGCTTGTGCTTGATGCTATTATGGAATGAGAAATTTGAATGGCTCTGGAGGAGGGGGTAATGCGTATCTTACATGTGGTAAGAATGTAAAACCTTTGTGGCCAGCGAGTGGATTTTGACTCTTCTCATCAATCTGATTCTGTGAATGCTTAACTAATAGAATACAAGTACAGAATAAAGATTCTTTGCCAGTTTCTGATCCTATGCCTTAAGAACTTGCAGTGTCCACTTTCTGTCTTTTGATATGCCTGCCTGTGGTACTCAGCTACAATGCTGTGAGGAAAGGTCATGTGTAGGCATTCAACAGCCCAGCTGAGGTCCCAGTAGACAGCAAGCATCCAGCAATAGTCTTGTGAGTGCCGGAGTCTTTGATACATCTCTAGTCACAGCCTCATGACTGCACCTACATGGGAGGCCTGAGTGACAATCTCCAGGCTAAGCCCAATGAAACCATAAAACCATGAGACAAAACAATGGTGTGCCTGTATTACCCGGGGTGATTTGTTCCACAGCAAATTAGAGCCAGAAGAGCTGTGTGTTCTAATGGTTTATATATTTAAATGTTGAGAAACCAATTATTTTTGTTTTATGCAATCAAGTTTTATTATTTAAGTTTATTCACGTATTTACCACCTTATTCTTCATTCCTTATTGCAATCCTAGGAATTTGTGTCATATTCCTTCTTTTTGAAGAGCATCCTTTATACTTGCCTTAATCTATGTCTGCTCATATTTTCTTCATCTGGAAACACATTTATCTTTAATCCTTTTTTTTGCAGTGATCGTATCAAAATCAGGGTCTCATATATGTTAGGCAAGCATTCTATCATCGAGCTACAACTCCCAGCCCTTCATCTTTAACTTTACATATATATATATATATATATATATATATATATATGTGTGTGTGTGCATGTGTGTATTTTTTTTTAAGTTGTAGGTGGACACAATACCTTTTTTTTTTTTTTTGGTTTATTTTTATATGGTGCTGGGGATTGAACCCAGTGCCTCACGCATGCTAGGCAAGCACTCTACCACTGAGCCACAAACCCAGTCCTGAATTTATTTATTTATATTTTTTATTGTATGCGGTACTGGGGATTGAACCCAGGGCCCTGTGCATGCTAGGCAAGTGCTCCATCACTGAGCCACATCCCTACCTCTTTATCTTTAATTTTAAAAGATATTTATCTTTTGGTGGAAATTTCTAAGTTTTCTGTTATTCTTTCTGCACCTTGAAAGTATCTTTCCACTATATGCTAGCTTCTTTAAAATTTTTTTTAATTGTTGATAGATCTTTATTTTACTTATTTATATGTGGTGCTGAGAATCAAATTCAGTGCCTCACACATACTAGGCAAGTGTGCTACCACTGAGCCCCCGCCCAAGCCCTATGCTAGCTTCTGAGATTCATATTGAAGAGTCAGCTGTAGTCTACATATTTGAAGGTTAAATTATCTATTTTTAATCATTGCTTTTAAGATTTTATCTCTTAGACTTTGTTTGCAGATTTGCTATAATGTGTGTAGGTCTAACTTTCTCTACTTCCCAGTTGGGTTTCACAAATCAGTGGATTGATCTTTTGCTTTAGTTCTGGGAAGTTCTCTTCAAATAATACTGCCATGTTCTTGTTCTTTTCTCCTTCTGGGGCTCTAATAAAAGTACTTTAATATCTCTTACTTATCTGTCTTTTCCATTTCTTTGTCTTTCCATGTTTCTTTCTTTCTTTTTTTAAATGTGGCACTGGGGTTTAAACCCAGAACTTGTGTTAGGCAAGTGCTCTACCACTGAGCTACACCCCCAGCTCCATCTCCATGGCTTATTTTGGATATTTCCTTCTAACAGAGCTTCTGATTTTTCTTATTATGTTTTCAATAGTGTCAAATATGTACCAGTTTTATCGTTAAATTTAGTTGTTATTAAAAGGAAATCGAGAAACTGGGAGACGGGCGAGCAAGAAATGAAAGATGGAGACCAGGTAGAAATACTCACAAGAGTTTATTTGTCAAAGCTGACAAATAAAGGCCATCTCTCTATTCAAGAGAGAGGCAAAAGGGACTTGAGTTCTGGGACTTTTATGGGGGACGGGGCTCAGGAATCAGAGCCTGGTGGGTCCTAATTCAGGCAGTTAGGTGTTGGGTTGGTATGAGGGAGTGGTAGGGGTTACCAGGGATTGAACTCAGGGGCACTGAGCCACTGAGCCACATCTCCAGCCCTATTTTGTATTTTACTTAGAGACAGGGTCTCACTGAGTTGCTTAGCGCCTCACTTTTGCTGAGGCTGGCCTTGAATTTATGGTCCTCCTGCCTCAGCCTCTGGAGTTGCTGGGATTACAGGCCTGAGCCACCATACCCAGCTAAGATCTAACCACTTTTTTTTTCTTTCTTTTATTTTTCTTTTTTGGTACTGGGGATTGAACCTAGGGGCACTTAACCACTGAGCCACATCCTCAGCCCAGAAATCCAACGACTTTTTTTTTTTTTTTTAATTTTTAGTTGTAGATGGATACAATACCTTTATTTATTTATTTTTATGTGGTGCTGAGGATCCAACCCAGAGCCTCAGGCCTGCTAGGCAAGTGCTCTACTACTGAGGTACAACCCCAGCCCCCAACCACTTTTGATCACTTCAGGAGTCTTTTATATTTTGTTTCCCATTAGCTTCTCATAGCTATCAATTTCTTTCTTTTTTTTCCCTCAGCCACTTCAGAGATAGTTCTGAAGTTGGAATCAATAGTCTGTGTTATTTTTCCAACCTCTTGAATAGAGATTATTGGTACTTTCTTAGATTTATGAGGCCCTACTTCTAAATGTGTGCTTGGGTACTTTCATAGGGTACAGGCTGGTTTTAAAAATTGATTGTAGTTTACACTATTATACTCATCACAAGAATCAGAGTACGAACATTCCCCATCCTACTTCTCCATAGTTTCTAACAATTAATAATAATAGATCTGGCTAATCTTGTTATGAAGTAGGTTATGGGAGTGAGGCAAGATCATTGAATTTGTTCATGTAATGTAGTCATAATTGAGACCTTGATTAGACAGTCCAACAGTGTTTCCACTGATTGCCTGATTGGTTGTGCGAATTTATAATCGGTAAACGGAATTTTCTGAAATCATGGCCTATGATTTGGCCTGGAATCCAGAAATCTGGATTAGTTAAAAAGTCTGGCCTGTGCAACCTTGGGCAGATCATTTCATTTGTTTGCACCTGAGTTTCCTCATCTGTTAAGACATTAACTTGTATCTACTTCAGAAGTTGTAGCAAAATGGCTTAGAAAAATGTTTTGTAAAAAGAAAAAACATTTCTGCAAGAATTTTTTTTTTTTTTTTTTCTGGCCGAAAGCAAGTTTTATTAGGCTGAAATTTAGTTAAACTGTTTTCGCACTTGAACTGGCGAATTGGGGCAGTGGGCTAACTCTGGCATCTGGAGAAAATGGGCGCGATCCAGGCCTTGTGCTTTTGGGTAGGTATTGAGCTCTCATCTGCATGCAATTTTTGTACAACCAGCCTCTGCCTATTCCCTTTTTCGTCCCTTGGGAAAGAAATTTCCGTGCTTCAGTCCGGGTGGCGAATGCCCAGGTTGAGCACAGAGGGAGATCTTCAGGGACTTCTGAGGAGCGGAGAGGTTACGGTGGCGCTTCCAATTGCTCCGGTGCTGTAGGGTCAACACAGAATGCCTGCGGTTACTAAGGCCAAAACCCTAGTGTAACTAAGGCTCTCTTCCTGCTTGCAGCAATATAGCTGGTGGAGAAGACTTCCCCGAGCATTCTCGGGAGGGTTGTTTGGCTCAGTCTAATGCGATTCAAGATTTTCTGCACACCAAGTCTCCCATTCTCCATATGTGACTTTAATCGTTCTCTCCTACGGTAAAGAGAGTAAAAGCAGAGACTACCGGGAAATATTCCAAGAGGAGCTGAGAAGTTCCGGAAGTAGCGCCTCGAAAAGCTTCCTCCAGTGCGGTCCAATGAACTCTTTATTTAGCAGAAAATTTAGTCCTCTAGTCCGCCGAGGCGGAAAAACATTGTGATTGGTTATTCAGCTCGGCGCAGAGACTTATGGGAGCGTTGTTCAGGCACTTGTTAATGCCCAGTTCGCCTATCAATCATCTCGCTTTCTGGATGGGGCGGGAACGGGAACCTTTTTCTGGTACCGCCTCTTCCTGGGCTGCTGCACCCGGAGGGGGTCTAGGTTGTAGTAACCGCGACCCAGCCGCGTGGGCGGGGTCGCGCTGCTAGGCCCAGGCCGTTCCTCAGCCGCGAGGCGCGGGGAGTGGCCCGAAGCGCGTGGCCGTGCGGGGCGGGCCTGGGCTGGGAGCGAACGCGGGGGCGGGGTTAGGGCGGGGCCGGAGGAGGCGGAAGCGGCGAGTGAGCCCGAGCCGGATCCCTACCGAAGCCAGCGTCCGGGCCGGCGGAGCGGCGTCGGCGGGGTTGGCCGGGGCGAAGGGGCGCTAGAACCTGGGCGGGTGGGCCGGCCAAGGGCCGGGGGTCGAGGTCCGGGAGCGGGTGACGGGCGTGCCTGGGGCTCGCCCCCGCGCGGTCGTCGGAGCGGGCTGAGCTCCCGCGCCCGCGCAGTCCGGGGGGATGCGACCCGGGGCCCCGGGGCGGGGCGGGCGGCGGCGGCTGCATCGCGAGCGGCGCAGGGGGCGGGTGGCGGTGGCGGTGGCGGCGGCATGAGGCGCGGGGCCGGTGTCCGCGGGAGGGAGGCGCTGCCGGCGGCCCGGTCGCTCCCGCTGCAACTGCTCGCCGGCTCGCTGTGCCCTGCCAGCTGGGCCTCGGCCGCTCTCGTCTCGGCCGCCTCCCGGGCTGCCGCTGGTGACCACTCGCCGCGCCGCCGGAGGCTTCACCCGCGCCCTCCCCCAGGACGCGCCCGCGGAGCTCGGGCCCCTTCGCCCCGGACGCGGAGGCCGCGCTGCGCGGGGCGGCGGCGAGGCCGGAAGATGGCCTGGGTGCTCAAGATGGACGAGGTGATCGAGTCTGGGCTGGTGCACGACTTCGACGCCAGCCTTTCGGGCATCGGGCAGGAGCTGGGCGCCGGCGCCTACAGCATGAGGTACCTGGGCGTTGCGGGAGGGCGGAAGCCTCTTTCCTGGGGTGAAGTCTGCATGACCCTGGGGCCCTGTCAAGCGGGGCTGGGTCCGGCGGTGCCCGGGCTTCCTTGCCAGCGGGGTCGGGGTCCTGCCGCGTGGCTGTCTGGGCCTTGGAGCCCCGCAGGCCTCTCTACCTGGCAGGTGAAGGAGGGAGGCCCCGCAAGCTTTGGCCAGGGAACCAATCCTAAGGACTTCATTTTTGTTGTAAAACACGCCCCGCTGTTAAGATGGCTTGGGTTGGTGGGGGAAGGGGCTTCCTTTCCTTCTACAAGAGATTTACAAGTCCCTTGAACCTGGAATACACTGTATAAAGGTAGCACAGTTGGAAAATACTTTACAACGTTTTTGTATCAGTTCCAGTCTGTTGTCCTACATTGTAGTCTTTCCTGGCTGCAATTTTAATCATTTGGTATTATAATAGTAAATTATAAGTGAAAAAGTAACAGTAGAGGGAAAAAGCACATTGACTTCGTTATGTTGTTTTTGATTGTCTCAAAGTGAGGTGTCTCATTTTGGGGACGATTCTTTGAAGCTGTTTTCACATGAAGAGGGCTTAAAGATGCTGTGATTGCATTACAAACAATAGTTTGTTTTGTCTCTGCTGTTTGTACCAGTAGTCATTCATTTTGTTTACTTTTGAGAGATTGAAATAGATATGAACTTAGTCTCTGCCCTTTATTCTGAAGGATATATATATTTTATTAATTTGGAAGCTGATTTAGCGGATTTATTGAAATAATTTATGTATCATAAAATTCACTCAAAAGTGTAATCAGTGGTTTAGCAGCTTATCATTAACGTGAATTAAGTGTAGTTGTCTTCTTTAGAGAAACATCTGATGCGTTTTAATAGCTATACTGTTTCAGCTTTTATACATCTCACTGCAGCTCAAGTGGACAGGGAGCACAAAAGTCCTGAGGAAGAAAGAATTCTGGGTTAGCTATCCTAGAATAGTGGAGGCTTATCCTTGAAGTAATTTGCCTTTTAAATCATAAAGACAAACTCTCATCTATAAAGAACACTGAAAAAGGTGGAGAATTTTTGGAGTGTGGAAGCAAGTGGTGGAAAGCATATTAAACTGAGTGGTCACCACTCTCTGGTCCTGGTTTGGTCTTTGCTTCTCTCTCTGAACTTGGCACCTCATCTCCCTGCAGTAGCTTTTTTTTTTTTTAATATTTATTTAATTATTTAGGTGTAGATGGACACAACACAATGCCTTTATTTTTATGTGGTGCTAAGGATCGAACCCGGGTCCACCCATGCTATGGGAGTGCTCTACCCCTGAGCCACAATCCCAGCCCCTCAGTTGTGTAACTTGAGAACTCTAGATGAGATGGCTTATTTTTTTGAACTGTTTCAGTTGTTGAGGAAATTGAGCTACTGAAAGTCATGGGATCACCCCAAAAGGGAGTACTAGAATTAGTGCCTTCCAAGTCGAAATACTTAAGTATAACCAAACTGCTTCTTGACTCCACCTGAAACCCTGAACTTGGAGTCAAGGCAAAGGGGGCACATGAAACAAGTTCAGTATGTTTCTCTTTTTAGTTGCATCTCAGTTACAGTAAGATGAAAGTTTGCTGCTGAAAAGTTGACTTACTAAAGGTTATTTTGAGCTTTTTGTTTTCTAGGGTCTTAGATGAACCAACTTTGTTTTGGTGAATCAGCCAACTTAATATAATTAACTTCGTTGTATAGTTTTTTCTTCTCTATGGAAAGGAAGTAAAATCTTGCTGATAATCAGCCTTTACTTGACCTTGTTCTTAAGTAATGCTTATCATCTTTGTAATTCTGTCATTTATGACACTCCTTGTTGGAAAACTTTTTCCCTGGAATGTTTTTGGTTTTGTCATTTAATCTAAATTTTCAAGTGACTTGGAAGGTGAACACCATTTTTGAGGAGCTTATTTAGTTTTTTTTTTTTTTAACATTATTTGGGTCTGGGAAATCCAATTCAAGGCCTTTTACTTGAAATTCTCAAAAAGGAAATTCCAAAATTGACTTGACAAGGAAAAAGTCTTAAGGAAGGCTTTCGGTGCTGCATGCTTTCTTTAATTATACTTTGGCTTTCTAAACCTAGTCCTGGTGCCCAGCTCTGGGAACTGCCCATAGCCGAATTCTCATTCTCTCCTTGAACATTTAGTCTCCTCCTCTAGTACCAAATAGGAAGTAAAGTTCATTTTTCCTCTTCCATTTGTTCTCACTGAATGGATGCTGAAACTCATTGAACTTGAAGTCTGGATCATGTGTGTTTTGTGGATTAGAAAGCAGATAACCAAATGACTTTAAAAAACAAAATTCATTACAACTTTCCAAGAGGATCTTTTAGACCACCTGGCAAATTTCTTTATATCTAATTATTCACATGAAGTTTATAAAATGTAGCATGTTTTCAGAATTTAGGTTCAATACTGAACTGATTTGCTTTTGGAGGGGGGTGGGATGGGTACTGGGGCTTGGACACAGTAGCTCTATCACTGAGCAACCCTTTTATTTTATTTTGAGATAGGGTCATGCTGAGTTGCCTGGGCTGCCTTAAACTTGGAATCCTCTTGCCTCAGCCTCCTGAGTTACTGGGATTACAGGCATGTGCCACCACACACCCAGCTATTTTTTTTTTTTTTAATAAAAATATTAAAACCATTCTTAGCTCATAGGTGTACAGAATCAGTCTGCCTAGATTTGGCCTTTGTGCTTGTGCATAGCATGCCAACCTTTTTTTTTTTTTTTTTTGGTATGGGGGGATTGAACCCAGGGGCACTTAACCACTAAACCACATTGCCAGACCTTTTTATTTTTTATTTTGAGGCAGGATCTCACTAAGTTGCTTAGGGCCTCACTAAGTTGCTGAGGCTGGCTTTGAACTTGTAATCCTCCTGCCTCAGCCTCCCAACTTGCTGTGATAATAGGTATGGACCTCCATACTGGGGGCTCCAACCCTTGTTCTTTTTTTATTTTTATTTTTTTAGGTGTAGATGGACACAACACAATGCCTTTATTTTTACGAGGATCGAACCTGGGTCCCGCCGATGCTAGGGGAGTGCTCTACCACTGAGCCACAATCCTAGCCCCCAACCCTTGTTCTTAATACAGGTTCTAATAATGTACTTTGATTGCTTCGGGAAAGAATTTGCTAAGTATTGAAATTTTAGTATATTCAAGAATTTATCTTTATGTAGACTAGGAACTGTTTTGGCTAAATTACATACATTCCATTGTTTGTCCATAAATCTTTTTTTTTTTTTTCTTTTTGGTACTGGGGATTGAACTCAGGGACGCTGAACCACTGTGCCACATCCCCAGCCCTATTTTGTATTTTATTTAGAGACAGGGTCTCACTGAGTTGCTTAGGGTCTCACTAAGTTGCTGAGGCTGGCTTTGAACTCAGATCCTCCTGCCTCAGCCTCCTGAGCCGCTGAGATAATAGGTGCGCCATCTTGCCCAGCTGTCCATAGATCTTTATTGTATTAAATTTTTACAATTAAGGTGTCATCCCGACTCCAAAGATTGAGTATAGTTTATAACCTTCTACTGGGTCTGCTTGAAACTTGGCAGTTTATTGATAGGATCTCATGAACTTTATGTTTCATCACATGGCAGTTGTCAGTTTGTCAGGACACACCTGTAAGCCTTTGCCGCTGATGCTTCATCTATCTTTTTCTTTCTTTTGCTGTAGGTTCTGTAATTTAATTTAAAAAGAAGCTCCGCAGTATTTACTTTGCTTGCTTTGGGACAGATGTAGTAAATGAATATGAAACTATTTAACTTCAGCAATGTCTTTTTCTTTTAAAAATTTTAACTTACTGGATATTTTGAGATTATGAAAATGTTGCCTTGACACAAACTATAATGAAACTAGTTTTTTTTTTTCCACTTATGTATTGATAGTTGAACTTCTTAAGTTAAAAAATAGTTTTTATTTTGAAATAATTTTTACAAGTTATAGAAATAGAATATTCACACATATACCCTTTACCCAGCTTATCATACTTACATACCTGGTGTACAGTTTTCAAAATTAGGAAATTGGTCTTGCTGCAGTACTGTTACCTGGAGTATAAAATTTTTTCTTTCCTTTTTCTAATTGATTTTCCAGTCTAGGATCCCATATTGTATTCAGATTTTGTCTCCTGAATAGTTTCTTGTGTGTGATGGAGGAGGTACTGGGTAATGAACCCAGGGTGCTTAACCACTGAGCTACATCACCACTCCTTTTTATTTTTAATTTTGAGATAGGGTCTTGCTAAGTTTCTTAGGGCCTCACTAAGTTCCTGAGGCCTGCCTTGAATTTGCAATCTTCCTGCCTCACGCTCCCAAATTGCTACGATTACAGGCATATGCCACTGCATCCTGCCATTTTTTACCTTATATGATTTTAACACTACATAGTGGTCAAAACTATTGTTTTTAAGTATGCAGGATTGGAGGTGTAACTTAGTGGTAGAGCGTTTGCCTAGCATGCCTATGGCCCAGGGTTTGATCCCCAGGACTACAGAAATGAACCAAAACATTTTTTTTTCCTTTAAAGCAAAGGTAAAATATTCTTGTTGTTGAGCTCTCAAAGGATCTCTATGATTTTAGCAATGATTTGCAGTGATTTTTTTTTTTTTGTGTGTGTGTGTGTGTGTGTGTGTTGTGGATGAAAGATGCATCATTCATGCTGAGTACTCTACCATTAAGCACAGTCCCTTAGCAATGGTTTTGAGTAGAGTGCACTATTCATGTCAAGTTTACAGGTTACTTTGTCTCAGTTCATCTGAATGGAATGTTGTTTTGGTTGACATATATGAAGAAAATCAACCTTACATAGATGAGTGATTGGAAAAACGAAGTTTATATTAATAGCCCTTTCAGATATTTGTGGATATTCTTCTTAGATGCTATCCCAGTACTGAATAAGTAAGTGGTAGTTTCTTAAAATTTAGCTGCATTGTGGAATCTGAAACTGTATCAGTGTATTTCTTGT